GCAACCGTCAGTTAAACCTAAAACCAAGGAAAAGAGATTAGAGGGATTCGTCAGATTTCCAAAGGAATTTAAAGATTCACAGCGAGAGAAGGTTAGTAAATTCGTAGCTTTGTTTTGACCACGATTTAGGATTTTCGTGGTGTTGGCTTAAGGGGATTCTGTTTTTTGTGGGTTTTGGGGTTTTGAATATCGCCTCCATTTTAGGGTTTTGGGGGTTGAAGGTGTTGTTGTTGTTTTCTGTAAAGAAGAAGACGAGACAAGGGTGAGAGAAAGAGAGAGAGAGAGAGAGAGAGAGAAAGAGAGAGAAAAAGGGTGAGGGACGATAGAGGATATAACATAATGGGGGTTTGTTTTCTTTTGTGAAAAAATGAAATTATATTAACTTAGTAATCCTATGCGCGTCCCCCATAGTCGTTATCATACTCCCTCGCCCATATCCACTCGATCCCAATCATACGACCCTAAACACGTATCCCTACCATGTTACCCTATAATCACGCGCATGTTGTCCAGACAAGCCCATCCCAAACCATGTTGGGCTTAACCCAATTGCTAATACACCCTTTTTTTTATTATTTTTGCTAATCAGTACAAAAGTACATCCCTAGGCCAAAATGTGCCAAGTCCAAAATCTGGACTAGGGCCCTGGCTTTTGACACCCTCTATTTGTCTGTTTAGTATAAAACCATCGAATATGTTACATAGACAGGACATGCGAGTTCTCATACATTTCCTGGCGCTGTTAGCCTGCCCTAATCTACTTCCTTCTCTTTTTTAGAAGTTACTGTTTACTCATCTTTTCCGAAGTGAGCATATAAGCACCCCCTTGGCCTTTGGGCTTGAATTTAACATCTGAATTCAGACACATGCTTTTAGCACTCTACCATTTTACTACCCCTATATATTTTACACCCTTCTGTGTTTTTTAATATTTTATTTATTTTATGTATTTTATTTATTTCATTATTTTTATAATTTTACATTTTCTTTTATTAATTATAAATTTTCTTGTATACTTTTAAATATATTTAATTTACTCAATATTATTATTATTATTTATCACACTTTTTTATTTTCTAAACTCATTAAAATATTTTATTTATTTATTGAATTAAAGTTTATTTTTATCCATGCATTTAAATAGAATTTATTCAATAATTAATATATTAAAAAATATTCAACCAACTATAATTTATTTTCAAAATTAAATTAATTCAATAAATAACTTTTAAAAATGATTGTGAATTCATTCAAATCGACTGCGCGTTTAGTCAAACAATCTTTGCTATTCATAACACCTAGACTAAACATGCGGAAAATGCGAATATCTTTGTAATCCATAAAAAACCTAAACCAACTGTGAATTACAAATTGCGACTTTGATTCCTTCTAAGAGGATACGTAAGCATATGCGACTAAAATCGTAGAGAGTTCCCCTAATAAAAATTAAAATCCCATTTCTTAAGATCGCGCTTCTAACCCTAGTATCCTTGTGAATAAGGTAGATGAGGGGTGCCTAACACCTTCCCTTCGTCTAGAACTGAGTCTAAAAAATCTAGAATCTTTAACTTTTAGGGTTATCCTTTATATTCCCTTAGGATAAAATTAAGGGTGGCGACTCTCAAATTTAAAACCAGTTACAGTACCTTGTTCACATATCATTATAATATGCGTACTTTTGAGATATCTACTTTTGACATATCAGTGTTAGGTGAAATTCGTGCTGAGGAATTATGGTACAAACTCCTTACTATTGGACCGCTCCCTTAGTTTGAGATTCCTATAGGAGTGAGGAAGAAGGGCGAAATATTCTTTAAAAAGAGAGACAATGAATTTGTTTGGTTTGATTTTAATACCAACACGGTTAAAGACCTTGGTTTCAAAGCCGACCGAATTTTTCACCAAGCTAATCCGTGTTGTCGCATGGTAATTTATAACAAAAGTATTATTTCAATTTGAGCAATAAGCAATTAATTGTGTTTTTTCATTTAAGAACCAGAGCTATAAATAATAGCTATTAGAATTTATCTTACTTATAAACTTGCAGGTCGTTGCAGATGCGACGATTATTGCATGTAAATTCGCTATCCATATTGCTCGATCACTTAAATGACATTCCTTTTCTAAATGATTTCATAACATGCTGCTCCTTTAGTTGATTTGATTGTTATGATAATTGATTTTAGCCTCTTTGATTTTTATTTTAACTAATTTGATTGTTCTGAACTTTTTTGACAGACATTTAAAACTTGACAATAGGGTTTGGCTTTTTAAACTGTTAGATGAAATCACATTTATGTCTATTGCTTCTTGTGCATTATTGTCTTCCTTAAACACATTATTTTGTACTAAGAAATTCAAGCTTAGAGAATGATATAACTTATGTCATTGATCATGTGAATGACACATTAAATTGTTGACATGCCGTTGAAACTTTTTCACTCTTATTTTTTTCTTGATATTTTTTTATTGTATTTGTTAATTAACTTATCAACAAAAAGAGATCAATATGTATCTGTTATGGATTTGAATTCTCTTCGTGGGAGAATTCACTTATTTTTTGTCTAGCTAAATATATATTTTTAAACCATCAAAACACATACTTTATATTTTTTTATTATTTAAAAAACTCACCTATTTGTTTTTGAATGGCACTAAAGACCACCGAAAGATATTCTCACGGTAGAGAATCAATGTTCGTATGTTATGTGTCTTGCGGTCCGAAGTCATTATTATTGGGAGTGATAATTTACCTTATGAAAGATGTTAAATTTATTATTTTATTTAAGAAAAATATGAATTTAAAAATATTCATTTATTTTATTAGATCAATTTACGAAATTTACTTTGATCACGTATGTCAATTTAGTGCTATTTTCACTTTATAACTTCAAAATATATGTTTTCAAATTTTTCCCTAAATAATTTGAAAATATTTATCAGTTTTATTATGATTAATAATACAATTTACTTTATTTAAAATATAAAAAAAAGAGTTTCATATTACCATTCGATCTAACTTAATTAAATTTTGAATAAATATGAATGTAAATCAATTTATGGTCTTTAATTAATTAAAATTTTGAAATTTACTTTCAATTAAATTAAATTTTTAATAAAGAGAAATAATTACTTTAAAGATAATGTAATTTTAAAATAAAATAATTTAATAATATTAGTTTATTTTAAATATAATAAACATATTAATAATTTATTTTAACGTATTTTATAAACATTTAAATATTTCCAAAGTGATTTTTTTTTTGTAAATTTATTATACAAGAAAAAAATGGTGTAATCATATATTAATTTGAAATCTCTAAGTGGAGCAACAAATTACATGATTAAGATGGTTGAACGTGATGGTAAGGAATGAAAAGATATTCTAAATTACATGACTAATGTATTTGGGTAAATTTTTATTATAAAATAATAACATCTAATATAAATAATATAATAAAATAGAGATCTATCAATATTTGACAATTAAGTTGGTAAAATTATCCAACTTTTTTAAATGAGTAAATCAGAATTTTCCTTTTTTAAATCTTTTTCTCTCGAATCGGCTCGGTTAAGTGTTTTTCTCTACATATCAAAGAATTCTAAAAAGAGAATCAAAGAATAATGATGCATTGAAATTTCTTTACTCCCTTTGTCAGAAGGATTTGGATCATCTCCAAATATATTGATCTCCTCAATCTTAAATCTTAATAATTTAATTAATTTAATGGTAAAATAACAAAGTTACACATACTGAGAAAAATATATAAGAGCAAAATATTTTTTAAAAGGAAAATAATCTTTATAAATCATTCAATTAATTAAAATTTTGATTTTTTTTTAAATATAAAAACTATACGAAATAACTTAATTTTTTCGAAAATACATGTAACAATTAGGTATATATTATTTGATTAAAAATTGATTTTTTTTCAATATATAAAGCACACTTAAAGATTTATTTTTCTCTATAAGTCAATTGTCAATACTAATTAATTAATTTTTTCACAATATATAAAGCATACTCAAAGATCTATTAAAAAAGAGCTAACAATACTAATTAATAATTATTTAATTTTTTTTCAATATATAAAACAATTTTAAATATCTATTTTTATTCTAAAAAACAATAAACAATATTAATTGATTAAAAATTTAATTTTTTAATATATAAAGCGTACAAATTTATTGAAAATTTATTTATTTTTAACATATAAAGCAAATGAAAAAAAAATCTATTTTCTCTAAAAACAAATTAAACAACACTAATTGATAAATAATTTTTTAATATACCAAAAAATGAAATAATCTATTTTTTGAAACACGAAAAAATTAAGAAAATTAAAAAATTAATTTTTTTTTTCAATATATTAATCATACTCATGTTATCTTAAAAACAATTAACGGTTAAGTATCTAATTGAATTAAAATTTAATTTTTTTCCCAATTTATAAATTAGAAATCAATTATTATTGTTAATTGATTTTTTTTGTTGAGAAAACGAAGATCCTTGAAACTTTATACATTGAAAAAAATTTATCAATCAATATATACTTAATTGTTATTGTATTTCAGGAAGAAAAAAATTCTTATGCTATCTATATATGGAAATGAATTAAAAATTAAATTAATTTATTTATTAAAAAGATATTTTTCCTTTTTTAAATATGTTGTTCCAATATTTTTCTTTTATTTTTATGTAAAAGAATTGTGTATTTGATCTTTGGGTTTTAACTCCAATATTTTTACTTATAAATATATTTGTTTATAACTCTTCTTTCACACGCTCAAATTGTTTATTATCTTCTTCTTGCTGTCTGACCTTTTAAAACAGCGGGACTAATCTCAAACCCTTCAATCTTCATCTCTATTTTATTTCCACGTGAGTAAAGAGAGACTTTAAAATTCGGTATGTCATTTTACTCTGGATTTTTTATTTTCAGATAAGTTAATCCTTTTTGTGTTTCTGAATGATTTGATTGCTTCCGTCTGTATCGCAGATGGAGAAATTTGTGGTTGTATTTGATGATAAGGTGATCAATTATATAAATGATGATGTTGCTTTATCTATTCTATCTAAATTGTCTTTCAAATCTTTGAAGCGATTTGAATGTGTTCATAAGTCATGGTCTCTCTTATTTGACAATCCTACTTTTATGACTCTGTATCGCCGCAATTTTTTCTCCAAATGTTCTTACGACGATGATACATCTCTCATCTTACATATCCACGGTCACAAGAAATTGCATTCTCTTTCTGGTGAGGGTTTTGAGAATATAGTGGAACTAGATTGGCCAAATCAAATGGACCGATGGATATATCTTGGTTTTGGGTGTGTTAATGGTATACTTTGTTTTGAGGATCCTATTTGGCACAAAATTGTATTATGGAATCCATCTATCAATGAATTGAAGGTCATTCGTTCAAGCCCTTTTGAGTCATTTATCCCACCTGCTACCCTAAATTTTGGAGCTTCAGTTCATTATAGTATTATTCCGAATCTCCATGGATTTGGTTATGACTGTGTAGGAGATGACTATAAGTTCATTCGTAATACATCGATAAAACCTAAGTTGCACATTTTTCAGCCATCTGGTAGAGATTTAAAATTGGCGCGAGATAAATCATTAAAGTCCTTTTGGGAGATTTATAGCTTAAAAAATAACTCTTGGAAGAAACTTGAAATTGATATGCCTAGTTGTTCTAAGTATAATTCTGGCTTTGGGACTTTTCGAGTATACTTGGATGGAGTATGCCATTGGTTGAATTTAAATAGAAATAATAATTATGATGAGGCGTCTTTAATATCATTTGACTTGAACAGTGAGGCTTTCATTAACACACCCATTCCCTCATTTGCTGGAGAGTGTTGTACGGGATTATCGGTGTTAAATGACTCCATTGCCTTGTTCACATATGATCATAATATACGTACTTTTGAGATATCTACTTTTGACATATCTGTGTTAGGTGAAATTGGTGCCGAGGAATCATGGTACAAACTCCTTACTGTTGGACCGCTCCCTTGGTTTGAGATTCCTATAGGAGTGGGGAAGAAGGGAGAAATATTCTTTAAAAAGAGAGATAATGAATTTGTTTGGTTTGATTTTAATACCAACACGGTTAAACATCTTGGTTTCAAAGCCGGCCGAGTTTTTCACCAAGCTAATCCTGGTTGTCGCATGGTAATTTATAACAAAAGTATGCTTTCAATTTGAGCAATATGCAATTAATTGTGTTTTTCATTTAAGAATAGAGCTATAAATAATAGCTAGTAGAATTTATTTTACTTACAAATTTAGAGATTGTCGCAGATGCGACAATTATTGCATGTAAATTTACTATCAAATGATTGTTCAATGATTTTGTACATTAGTCTGAGCGCTTAATAATCTATCCATAATGCTGGATCACTTGAATGACATTTCTTTTCTAAATAATTTCATAACATGATGCTCCTTTGATTGATTTGATTGTAATGATAATTGATTTTAACCTCTTTGATTGTTATTTATTTATTTTATTAGATCAATTTACAATATTTACTTTTATCATGTATGTCAATTTAGTGCTAAATTTTTACTTTGTAACTTCAAAATATATTTGTTCAAATTTTTCCCTAAACAAATTGAAAATAATCATCAGTTTTATTATGATTAATAATACAATTTACGTTATTTTTTAAAAAAATAGAGTTTCATATTACCACTTGATCTAACTTAATTAAATTTTGAATAAATATGAATATAAATCAATTTATGGTCTTTAATTAATATATTAATAATTTGTTTTAACGTATTTTAGTAACATTTAAATATTTTGAAAGTTATTTTTTTTTGTAAATTTATTATACAAGAAAAAAATGGTGCAATCATACATTAATTTGAAATCTCTAAGTGGAACAACAAATTATATGATTAAGATGGTTGAACGTATGGGTGTTCAAAACCAAATTGGCCCAACAAAAAAACGTAAAACCGAACTGAACCAAATCGAAATTGTAAAAAATCGCATTTGGTTCGAATGTGTTTGGATCATTTTCTAATAGAACCGCGTGGTTTGATTTGGTTTGCGGTTTGTATTTTGTAAACCGAACCGAACCAAACCGCATTATGTTATTAAATCTTATTAATCAATATATTTCTTTAATTATTTAGAGAAATCAACATGTATTATGTGTATATTTTATCATATTCTTTGTATGATATGTATTTTAACTTACAAATCATAAAAAATGAAATATTATTTATTTATAAATACTATTATCATAAAATATATTTTTATCGTATTCTTTATATAATATTTATTTAAGAATGCAATCTTATGTATATCATTCTTTAGATTTAGATAAAATTATAATACACAATTTTATGTAACAAATTATAAACTTATTTTGACAATTAGAAATTTTTTATGGTAATGTATGAATGATTAAAAACAAAATTATATTTTTCTATATATGTGTATGTATGGCTAAATATTTTTTTTATAAAAAAATCACACCAACCGAACTAATCCAAATCGCATTAATTTGATTTGGTTTGATTCGATTTTATTTTTATAAGCTAACCGAACCGCACATTTTTTTCTCTTGCAGTTCGAGTAATTTTTTGCTTTAAAACCGTTCAAACTGCACCACGAACACCCTAGTTGAACGTGATGATAAGGAATGAAAAGATGTTCTTAATTGAGGAAGAGTAAATAGTCCATTGACTTTGGAAATGATAATGTACATTTAATGTATTTGGGTAAACCTTTATTATAAAATAATAGCATCTAATATAAATAATATAATAAAATAGAGATCTATCAATATTTGACAATTAAGTTGGTAAAATTATCCAACTTTTTTAAATGAGTAAATCAGAATTTACCTTTTTTAAAGCTTTTTCTCTCGAATTGGTTAATTGTTTTTCTCTACATATCAAAGAATTCTAAAAAGAGAATCAAAGAATAATGATCTCCAAATATATTGATCTCCTCAATCTTAAATCTTAGTAATTTAATTAATTTAATGGTAAAATAACAAAATTACACATACTAAGAAAAATATATAGGATCAAAATATTTTTTAAAAGGAAAATAATCTTTATAAATCATCCAAATAATTAAAATTTTGATTTTTTTAAAATATAAAAAATATATAAAATAACTTAATTTTTTCGAAAATACATGTAACAATTAGGTATATACTATTTGATTAAAAATTGATTTCTTCAATATATAAAGCACATTTAAACATTTATTTTTCTCTATAAGTCAATTGTCAATACTAATTAATTAATTTTCTCACAATATATAAAGCATACTCAAAGATTTATTTATTTTCTTTAAAAAAGAACTAACAATACTAATTAATAATTATTTAATTTTTTTCAATATATAAAGCAATTTTAAATATCTATTTTTTACTCTAAAAAACAATAAACAATATTAATTGATTAAAAATTTAATTTTTTTAATATATAAAGCGTACAAATCTATTGAAAATTTATTTATTTTTAACATATAAAGCAAATGAAAAAAAAATCTATTTTCTCTAAAAACAAATTAAACAACACTAATTGATAAATATTTTTTTTAATATACCAAAAAATGAAATAATCTATTTTTTAAAACACGAAAAAATTAAGAAAATTAAATAATTATTTTTTCAATATATTAATCATACTCATGTTATCTTTAAAACAATTAACGGTTAAGTATCTAATTGAATTAAAATTTAATTTTTTTCCCAACTTATAAATTAGAAATCAATTATTATTGTTAATTGATTTTTAGAGTAAACGAAGATCCTTGAAGCTTTATACATTGAAAAAAAATTTATCAATCAATATATAATTGTTATTGTATTTTAGAAAAAAAATATTTCTTATGCTATTTATATATGGAAAAAAATTAAAAATTAAAATAATTAATTTATTAAAAAGATATTTTTCCTTTTTTAAATATGTTGTTCCAACTTTTTTTTATGTAGAAGAAATGTGTATTTTTGATTTTTGGGTTTTAACTATAATGTTTTTACTTATAAATACACTTGTTTATAACCCTTCTTCCACACGCTCAAATTGTTTATTATCTTCTTCTTTCTGTCTAACCTTTTAAAACAGCGGGGCTAATCTCAAACCCTTCGACCTTTATCTCCATTTTATTTTCACATTTTATTTTCACGTGAGCAAAGAGAGACTTTAAAATTCGGTATGTCATTTTACTCTAAATTTTTTATTTTCTGATAAGTTGATCCTTTTTGTCTTTCCGAATAATTTGATTGCTTTCGTCTGTATCGTAGATGGAGAAATTTATGGTTGTATTTGATGATAAGATGATCAATTATATAAATGATGATGTTGCTTTATCTATTCTATCTAAATTGTCTTTTAAATCTTTGAAGCGATTTGAATGTGTTTGTAAATCATGGTCTCTCTTATTTGACAATCCTACTTTCATGATAAGAGATGAAAGGCAAAAAAATAATATTTAATGATGGCTACAAAATAAGGAATAATGATTTACAATGAATTACATAAACTATTTATACACAAAATAAAATCCTAAATATCCTCTAACAATAGATTAAATTTGACACTATCCCTTAATTTATATTTTATCCAAAACTGACAATACCAATTTCATCCCTCAAGCGAAGTCTTGACAACCTTTGTTAGAACATCTGCCTGGCAAGATTGATTGCAGACTTGTTATCAATCATCAAGTTCATAATCCACACAACTTGGCATGCAGTCAGAGCGCCTGCAATATATTCAACTTCACATGTTGACAGCGCAACAATAGGTTGCTTCTTGGAACACTAAGAAATAGGATCTCTCAGAAATTTAAATAAGTACCCAGAAATACTTCTTCTATCCACTCTATCTTCGCACCAATCAGAGTCTGAATAACTCAGAAGTTTTGATTCAATCTTTCTTCCAAATGGAAATAACACTTCATACTTCAGAGTTCCCTTCACATACCTTTCTGCTATCCATTCCAACTGCATAGAAAATATCATGTCTGATATTACACAAATACTTTAGAGAACCAACCATTTGTTTGAAGGTTATAGCATCCACATCCTCTCCATCAGAATCAGAGTCCAACTTCTGATTCGTATTAACAGGTGTGATAGAAACTTTGCAATTCTCTCGCTCAAATCTCTTCAGAAGCTCTAGTTCATACTTCATCTGATGCAAAATGATTCCTTTCTCAGAGTACATAAATTTCACCCCTAGAAAGAAACTCATTTTCCCAAGATCTGTCATCTCAAACGCATTCGTTAAAACTTTCTTGAACTCAACTATCTCTTGTTCAAAACTTCATGTGAATAATATGTCATCAACATACAAACAAACCAGAATCATATTACCTTATGAAGTGTGCTGAACATAAACACCATACTCCATCTCACACTTCTGAAACCCTTGTTCCTTGAAAAACGAATCAATCTTCAAATTCCAAGCTCTGGGCGCTTGCTTCAATCCATACAAGGCTTTGTGTAATTTGAACACCATCCTTTCCTGATTATTTTTCTCAAATCCAGGAGGTTGTGACACGTATACCTCTTCTTATAATAAACCATTCAGAAATACAGATTTTACATCTAAATGCATCAGAGGCCAATTCCTGTTAGCAGCTATTGCAATCACTAGTCTGATTGTTTCATGTCTCGCTACAAGTGCAAATACTTCAATGTAATCTATCCCAGGCTTCTGTAGAAAGCCTCTTGCTACTAATCTTGCTTTGTGTTTGCCAATTGATCCATCTGGATTTAGCTTCTGCTTGAAAATCCATCTAACACTGATGGCTTTCTTTCCTTTTGGAAGTTCTGTCAGCTTCCAAGTCTTGTTTCACTCTATAACATCAAATTCTTATTTCATGGCATGTAACCAAACTTGCTGCTTAAGAGCCTCTTCCGTACTCATGGGTTCAGAGTCTACTAACATTGCATAATGAATAACTTCTCCTTCAGAGTCTACTTCAGTGTCTTGTAACATGTCAGACTCTGCAAATCTTTTTGGGATGCTTCTGACTCTTTGTCATCTCTGAACTGGACCTTCAGAACTTTGGACACCAGAATTTTCCCCTTCATAAGCACTTGCTTCAGAAATTGGACTTTCTCCAGAACCTTGACTGCCTTCAGAGTATGGATCACCATCGGAGTCAGAGTCAGAATCATCTTCGCCTTCTGTATCTTCTTCAGAGTCAAAGTCTGCAGTTATAACATTCACCTTGAATATTATGTTCCTTCCTTATTCTGACTCCATAATTAGCTTCTGATTACAGTCATACAACTTCAGAAGATTGTATTTCATGGTAACTGAAAAACCTTTCTCAATCAGTTGTCGTACACTCATCAAATTGCTTTTCATGCTAGGTACATACCATACATTCTGGATCATTGTTGCTTTCCCATTGTTTAGAGTGGTTATGACATTTTCGATACCTTCTGCATTGAGGTATTTATCATCAGCATATCTGATCTTTGTACTCTTCCCAGAGTCAAAATCAACTAACCATTTCTTGTTTCCAGTAAGATAGTTTGAATACCCTGTGTCCATATACCACCATTCTAATGAATTCAGATCATCAGGTTTAAAAGCCATCAATAGCACGGGTTCATCATCTGACTCTCCTCTGGCTATATTTTCTTCTTCTAACTTCCTTTCTTTGTTTGACCAACAATCTTTCGCATAGTGACAAAAGTTCTTACAACAGTAACATTGAACATTATTCTTTCCAGGCTTCTCCTTTCCCTTCTGGACATTCTTATGCCTATCAAAGTTTCAAGCTTCTGACCTTTGACCATCCTTAATTTTCTTCCTGGCTTCTGACCAAGCCTGCTTCTGATACTTCTTACCAGAAGTTACTTTCAGAGCATGCTGCTCTACTTCCCTCTCTGAAGTTCTCGCATTCATACGCAACTCATGCGCCTCTAGACTACTTTGTAGCTCTTCAACTCTCATGGTGCTCAGATATTTGGAATATTCAATTGCTACCACAATGTAATCAAACTGAGAAGTTAAAGATCTCAAGGTCTTCTCAATGATTATTTATTCAGAAATAGTTTCTCCACAAGTTTTCATCTTATTAGTAATCATAATCACTCTAGAGATGTACTCAGAAACCTTCTCGTTGTCCTTCATGTTGAGATTCTCATATTGCTTTCTGAGAGACTGAAGCTTCACCTTCTTCACTGATACGTCACCACCGTAACATCTGACTAATGTGTCCCACGCAGCCTTTGCTGTTTCAGAATCAACAATCTTCTCAAAAACATTTGCATCCACACATTGATGGATGTAGAATAATGCCTTCTGATCTTTCTTCCTTGGTGAATTCTGTGTTATCTTATGTGCCTCTATTGCGTCTGCTTCTAACAGATCATAGCCATCGGTGACAAGATCTAACACATCTTGAGAACCAAATAACATGCATGTCTGGATCTTCCAACGATTCCAGTTTTTTCCATCAAATACTGGAAGCTTGGAATGGACATCGTCGTCGTTTCCGTTCATCTTCTACCTTGTGCAATTTATGCAGAAATTCAACAAAGCAGTGTTTCTCAAATCCCCAAAATCAGAAACAACGATTATTACACATCACCTCACTGTTCTCTCGTGTTTTCTGTTTTCCCTGTGGATTTCGAACCGGAGTTCTAGATACCAATTGTTGGCGCACAAAGAAGAGATGAAAGGCAAAAGAAAAATATATTTAATGATAGCTACAAAATAAGGAATAATTATTTACAATGATTACATTGAGCTACCTCACTAGGCTATTTATATACAAAATAAAATCCTAAATATCCTCTAACAAACATATAAAAAGATATAATAATATCCTCTAAAAGGATATTCCTAAAATATAGATTAATATCTAAAAGATATTCCTAAAATATAGATTAAATCTAACAATATCCACGGTCACAAGAAATTGCATTCTCTTTCTGGTGAGGGTTTTGAGAATATGGTGGAACTAGATTGGCCAAATCAAATGGACTGATGGATATTTTTTGGTTTTGGGTGTGTTAATGGCATGCTTTGTTTTGAGGATCCTATTTGACACAAAATTGTATTGTGGAACCCATCTACCAATGAATTGAAGGTCATTCGTTCAAGCCCTTTTGAGTCATTTATCCCACCTGCTACCCTAAATTTTGGAGCTTCAGTTTGTTATAGTATTATTCATAATCTTCATGGATTTGGTTATGACTGTGTTGGAGATGACTATAAGTTCATTCGTAATACATCGATAAGACCTAAGTTGCACATTTTTCAGCCATCTGGTAGAGATTTAAAATTGGCGCGAGATAAATCATTAAATCCCTTTTGGGAGATTTATAGCTTAAAAAATAACTCTTGGAAGAAAATTGAAATTGATATGCCTAGTTGTTCTAAGTATAATTCTGGTTTTGAGACTTTTCGAGTATACTTGGATGGAGTATGCCATTGGTTGAATTTAAATAGAAATGATAATTATGACGAGGCATCTTTAATATCATTTGACTTGAGCAGTGAGGTTTTCATTAACATACCCATTCCCTCATTTGCTGGAGAGTGTTGTACGAGATTATCAGTGTTAAATGACTCCATTGTCTTGTTCACATATCATCATAATATGCGTACTTTTGAGATATCTACTTTTGATATATCAGTGTTAAGTGAAATTGGTGCCGAGAAATCATGGTACAAACTCCTTACTATTGAATCGCTCCCTTGGTTTGAAATTCCTATAGGAGTGGGGAAGAAGGGCGAAATATTCTTTAAAAAGAGAGACAATGAATTTGTTTGGTTTGATGTTAATACCAACACGGTTAAACACTTTGGTTTCAAAGTCGACTGAGTTTTTCACCAAGTTAATCCTAGTAGTTGTATGGTAATTTATAACAAAAGTATGCTTTCAATTTGAACAATAAATAATTAATTGTGTTTTTTCGTTTAAGAACTAGATCTATAAATAATAGCTATTAGAATTTATCTTACTTACAAATTTACAGGTTGCCACAGATGCGACAATTATTGCATGTAAATTTGCTATCAAATGATTGTTCAATGATTTTGTACATTAGTCTGGGCGCTTAATAATCTATCCGTACTGCTGGATCACTTGAATGACATTCCTTTTCTAAATGATTTCTTAACATTCGGCTCCTTTAGTTGATTTGATTGTTATGATAATTGATTTTAGCCTCTTTGATTGTTATTTATTTATTTTATTAGATCAATTTACAATATTTACTTTGATCATGTATATCAATTTAGTGCTAAATTTTCACTTTGTTACTTCAAAATATATTTGTTCAAATTTCCCCCTAAATAAATTGAAAATAATCATCAGTTTTATTATGATTAATAATACAATTTACTTTATTTAAAAAAAAGAGTTTTATATTACCACTCAATCTAACTTAATTAATTTTGAATAAATATGAATATAAATCAATTTATGGTCTTTAATTAATTAAAATTTTGGAATTTACTTTCAATTAAATTAAATTTTTAATAAAGAGAAATAATGACTTTAAAGATAATATAATTTTAAAATAAAATAATTTAATAATATTAGTTTATTTTTAAATATAACAAATATATTAATAATTTATTTTAACATATTTTATAAATATTTAAATATTTCGAAAGTGATTTTTTTTGTAAATTTATTATAGAAGAAAAAAATGATGTATTCATATATTAATTTGAAATTCTAAGAGCATATTCAATGGTGCTACTCATATTTGGGTTCTTTGTGGGACCCATTACGCTACATCATCTTGAAGTAACTCATTCTATTTTTCACTCCAATTGTGCAATTTTAAAGAACTTATATTGGGTTTCACAATTTTATTTTGTATATTAATATTTTATTCATACTAAATTTTATTTGATTTAAAATTGTTATTGAATCTCACAATTGATTATTTTAATAATAAAAAAATATAAAGAGCCGTTGCTTATATTTGTATCGTTCACTAGTTGAAACAACTTTTTTGTTGACAATTTCAATGTTAAGCTGACAATCCAATCTAAAAAACCAGAGTTGAAAGTGGTCTAAGTATAGCAACAAATTACATGATTAAGCTGGTTGAACGTGATGGTAAGAAGTGAAAAGATGGTCTAAAATTGAGGAAGAGTAAGTAGTCAATTGACTTTGGAAATGATAATGTACATTTAATGTATTTGGGTAAACTTGTAATTATAAAATAATAGCATATATTATTAAAATATAATACAATAGAAATCTATCAATATTTGACCATTAAGTTGGTAAAATTACCCAACTCATGTTATCATAAAAACAATTAACAATTAAGTATCTAATTGAATTAAAATTTAATTTTTTTCCCAATTTATAAATTAGAAATCAATTATTATTGTTAATTATTTTTAGAGAAAACGAAGATCCTTGAAGCTTTATACATTGAAATAAATTTATCAATCAATACTTAATTGTTTTTGTATTTCAGGAAAAAAAAATATTTCTTATGCTATTTATATATGGAAAAAAATTAAAAATTTAATTAATTAATTTATTAAAAAGATATTTTTCTTTTTTTAAATATGTTGTTCCAAAAAAAATTTTATGTAGAAGAAATGTGTATTTTGATCTTCGAGTTTTAACTCCAATATTTTTACTTATAAATACTCTTTAAACACATTATTCCGTACTTACGTCGATACATTAAAAATTGTTGAGGTGCTGCTGGATGTTTCTCACCCTTATTTTTTTCTTGATATTTTCTTTACTATATTTGTTAATTAACTTATCAACAGAAAGAGACTAATATGCATCTGTTATGGATTTGAATTCTCTCCATTGGAGAATTCATTTATTTTTTGTTCGATGAAATCTAAACCAACAAAACACATGCTTTATATTTTTTTATTATTTAAAAACATCACCCATTTGTTTTTGAATGGTGAGAATTTTATTGGAAGTCACTGAAAAAATTCTCACGGGAGAGAATCAATGCCTGTCTGTTATATATCTTGCAGTGCGAAATCATTTTTACTGAACTGCGGTGCCAAACATGCTTGTTATGTTTTTTTTTATGGGTTAATTTTATGAAGAAGTGAGATTTGAGAAGAAGAAGAAGGTGAATAATGTATGTGTATGTTGTTTAGTTTGGGGGAGAGAGAGAAAAAAGATTGAAACATAGATCTCTGCTAAAAAAACAAAACAAAAACGTGTTTGTGTTGACCCACTGACGCCTGCTTGACTAGGAGATCATGATTCATGACTTACATCATCATCATGAATAAGTATCTCAACAATTACAAATATATATTTTCTTGGACTACAAGTTTTTCAGTTTGAATTTTCTTTAAAATGTTAGAAGTATAATATTTGTACAGCCTTAACATTAGATGCTATTTTTTTGTTAGATAGTTAGTTTAAAGTTAGAGAAATAATATTTTGATACTTAAATTATGTTAAAAATATGTTTAAGTGTAATTTTTAGAGATATGGATTTAGTGCAGTCACATTTGACTGCAGGATCCTGCATTTAGGCCATTTTAGGGTAAATTAACAAAAGATATATTGGAAAGAGAAAATAATAGAGAGAGTAAATGACATTAACAACCCAAACAATACACAAAATGCAGGGACTGTAATTTTAGATGTAGTAATGTATTATTGGAGTAGAAAAGAGATAGGGACATTAATATACGGTGTTATATACGATGTCAAATATTTAATGTTCAAATAACACTATTTTAGAGTTATAGGATTAGTTTATAAACAATTACTTTTTTCAGTTTTAAGCTTAGATCATAAATAACATTATAATCTTTTGTAAGTACATAGTGCGCCTAAGAAGGAAGGTGAATTAGGATTTTAAGACTTTATCATGTTTTTATAAATCTTGGTTCTAACTTTTCTGGTTTGGTTAAGCGATGAAAGCGGTAAAGTAAGGAAAGTAAAGAACACAAGAGATTTATACTAGTTTCTCTCACAATTCGAGAGTATGTCTAGTCTCTTTACCACAACAAGAGTTTTTGAATAAGTAAGTTTGTAGTATATAAATCCTATGAAAGAATTTTTCTCTTTCAATATGAAACTTATTAACACAATACTCTCTTATGCTCAAGATACTTTATGAATATGATATGAAAAATATGACTCAAAAATATCACTTGATGAAGTTTATGTTTTGTGAAAATATCCAGAGAGTTTTTTTTCTCTGTTAAATTGATTGAAAGAGGAAATTGAAAAATATATTTTTGAAATCAATTTATATAGATGATAACAACCATTCAAAAACATGGCAATGATTGATAGAAAATCAAAAAATTTATCCTTGAAAAGATGAAATGTTTTCCATGAGAAGAAATAATGAATGGATGCAATGAAACAAAGTATTTTTCTATTCTTTTTCGGGTGCAATCGATTCTACTAAAATGACAATTGATTGCACAACTTTGTAATGTTAAATTTTTTAAAAATAAAACAAATGACAACCGATTGCACAGAAAGGACAATCAATTGCGCAAAGTAAAAATTTGCAAGTTTTTAACGTGAGATAGTGCTTACAACCGATTGCTCTCAAACTGCAATCGATTGCACTAGGAAAGATTTTGAAAAAAAATTCTAAGTAAAAGGAACATTATCATGTAGTGCTTCAAGTTTTCAACAAAGATTATCAATCCAATTTTAAAAACATTTTTCACATGATATATGCATGATTTAAAACATTGAGCACTAAGATTATATTTATTAAAGGTTTCATATACCTTAGCACTTGAATGATCAAAGCTTTGTAAATAAGAAGCATGTCTTTAATCTTTTATTTCTTCTTCTTTTTTAGTGCATTATTGGAGAGTGTTGTCTTCATCAAAATATTTATAGGAAGCTTGTCTTCACATCTTTGTGTATGTTATTCTATATTCAATTGTATTATTTTTATTATTATAAGTATTAGTATAAGACGTGTGTTAGGCTAAATTCTCTAGTATTAGAAAGGTTGTTAGAGTTAGTTATAAGTGGTTGTGGTAGTTATAGTTTGTTAGAACCAAACTAACTTCAACTAACTCTAAATATAGTATTTTCATTATTATGTAATATTTAAGATTTGAATCTATGAACAATGAGAATGAATTAAAGATTTAACTAATCAAAGTTATCTAATAATTTTAAAATGGTATCAATCGCCTTTTGAGCATTCCTTTTGCAAGCCTAATCACTTCTTCTCATTTCTTCTCATTTCTTTGATTGTGCATCTTGAAGCTCTCAATGGCAAAAATTTATGAACCATCTCCATTGTCCAAGAACCATTTCACGGGATATGGCTTCATTTTTTAGAAGCTCGTACTTTTCTCTATCATTTGGTCCCATGTTTTCTATCAAGCTGCAAGATAACAACTATCTGATGTGGAATCAACATGTGGAGGGTGAGATCCTCTTCCATAAGCTTCATAGCTTTGTGGTGAATCCTAAAATTCCTCTTATGTTCAAAACAAACGAAGATCATCTTCAAATCACTATCCCAACAGAATATGAAACTTGGATAATGCTAAACCAAGCTCTGTTCACATGGTCTGTGCTACCACTTATGCTCTCTTGTAAATAATCATATGAAGTGTGGGATAAATTTCACAAGCACTTCACAGTGATTATGAAAACAAAAGTGAGACAATTACACACTAAACTCAAAACTACCATGAAACTAAATTGTCATGCTTCCGAATTTGTACCTCTCATCAAAGCAATTGCAGATTCTATATTGCCCGTAGATAATTACATATCTGAACAAGACCAGATTGATGTTATCCTAAATGTAATTACCAAGGAATACAATATGTTGTGATGGTCATTCCGAGCTTCCTACAATCTATGATGTTGAA